GGGGGGGGAGTGGCCGCGGCCGGACGGGGGGGGCGCAGCCCCCCCGTCCGCTCGGCCCTACGCCCGCCCCGGCCGAGGCCGCTGCGCCCGGCCCTCCGCTGGCGGCGGCTCCTACGCCGCGCAGTTCGCGCGCCCTCTTATAGCCTCGGCCCAGCGCGATGAGCTCACTGCCCCCGCTCGCCATTGGGCGTGGGTGACGTCGCTCATTTGCATGGTGGGGTGGGGCCAAGTCATTGACGCCCCCCTAGCTGCCGTTGCCCCGGTGACGCGCGGTAAACCGCACAACAGCGCGCTGCCTTGTGGGTTGACGTCATGGGGGCGGACCCCGAGCCCGGACCCGGTTACCCCGCCCCGGGAGCGCAGTGTACAACCAATGCCCCCAGCGCTGCCTCCCGCCAAGGCACGTCCCGGGTGGCGTGATGAGCCCGGCCACCAGCCGCCTGCCCGCCCCGAGGCCCCGCCCCGCATCCGCGCGTGGGGCCCCGGCGGGGAGGGGGAGGGGGCGGGGGCAGGAGCGGGGGCGGTGCCGGCCTCCGGGGACCGGTGGGGGGATGGGGCCCGGATGGATAAATAACTCCCTGGCGCCCTCCGCTCCACTACGCCTACAAGTGCCTTCCTTACCGCTCCTCTATTCTGGCTCTGTACGGGCTAGGGGCAGAAGGCCTTAGGGAGCTGTACCCGGTGGCTTCCTGGGCGTGTTGGCCAGATCTGCCTGTTTCACCCCCACCCCAAATCTCCAGTGATGTGTTTGCCCCAGAAAGACGAGGGAAGGGAGAGGAGAACTGTTGGAAGCTGCTGAAAGCGCTTTCTTTGATCTTGATACTTTTCACTGAGGAGTCTAAAAGTATGGAGTCCAACTTCCTGACTTTACAGACTGAGAAACTGGGGCTTACTAAATTGTGACCAGGCCTGATCTCTTATTCACCTGGTAGAACCCGGGCCTCCTGGGCCTCCTGCTCCTGGGCAGCCGCCTACAATTTTACCCTGCATCTGCCAGGGCCTGCTGTGGGTCCCGAGGTGAGGGTGATGGACTATAGCCCCTCCCCCCCCCCTCGCCCCGTTTCCTCAGCGGCTCTCCCTTCCGGAATGTTAAGGCAGGAGCCCATCTGGTCATTGTTAACCTGCTTATTATTATTTTGTTATTGTCCGGGCTCAATGGGCCTCCTAAAAGACTGGCTGGGGATGGGATATGAGGGTGTGGGGAGAGGGCAACCTCTCCAACACTCCCTAGGGATTGTTGGGACATCTAGGTCTGGCTGACAGCTCCTGCACACAACCCCTCAGGTAGACTGTGAAGGCTCCAAGGACCCTTCTTCCTCCGACTCCCTCTGACCTTTCACTTTCACCTTCCCTGAGCCTTGGCCTCTCAGCTCGTAGCTGCCTCAGGGCCTTTGCATGTACTATGCCCTTTGCCCGTGCTCCCTTCCCCACTGCAAATCCTAATGTCCTCGGAGAGGCCACTCCCACTCACTGTGTTTCCATTATATCCTTGGAAGCATTCAGAATGACAGGATGGACCATAAATTTCCGGAGGGCAAGGACCTTTATCTATCCCGAACCTGTTGGTCACCAACATCCAATACAGCACCTGGCTCAGTGTTGAAGGAGAATGCTGCCTGGCCTAGTTGCTGTGGCAGTCTCTGGCTTCAGTTTGTCTGACTCACCTGTGGGCATGAACATTCCCAGTCCCCAACCCTCGTCTCCTACCTCCCTACCTCATCTGGCCCTGCCCCTGATTGGGCTCTGGAGCAAGAAGGCCATGAAGGAAACTGTCACCAGGAGCAGGAGGCCTGCCCTGGTGGGCAGTGGCCCAGGGGTGTGAGTGTGTCTATATCCACACAAATGTCTGTTTGTGCCTGTGTTGTGTTCATGTATGGGTCAGTGTACTCAGGTGTGTTCACACACAAGGGCAGGTGTCTATGTGCCAGTGTGGGTTCATGCACGTAGATCTGTGTGCCTGTATGTATACACATATATATATACCTGTGTATACGTGTGTGTCCATTTGTGTGTTTCTAGGCACGTAGGTCTCTGTGCCCTCCAGACCTGTCCTCTCAGGTCCCAGCCTGAGCAAAGGGACCCTTGATGAGAGGGGATCCTGTCCCCAGCCTGTTGCTAGCCTTGTCCTGGGACCCTGCTCTGGGCCTGTGCAATGGGGCTAGATTGGAGGAGATGGGGCCATGCTTCTCTCCAAGGCAGGACATGAGTGGGTGGCCTAGATAGCCTCCACCCTGACCTTGGGCCTTGACCTTAATAAGTGGGTGAATGGTCTGGTGAAATATGGGCAGAACCTACCTGAGCTGAAAAACTGACCAGCAAACAGGCCTTGGGAAATGGAGGCACAGGGAACCCAAGGCAATTCACCTCTCTGAGTCTCAGTTTCCCCCTCATGAAAATGGAGTGAAAAATCTCACCTCCCTCGTGGAGTATGGTGATTTTTGTTTCTTTTCTTTTCTTCTTCTTTTTTTTTTTTTTTTTTTCATTCAGTAAACTCTACCCCCTTCATGGGGCTAGAACTCACGACCCTGAGATCAAGAGTCCACATGCTCTACTGACTGAGCCAACCAGGTGCCTCAAAAAATACTGTGGTTTTTATTGGATTTAAAGGAATAGAGCTCATAAGTGCTTTCTATAATTGTTTTATGTTATTATTATAAGGCTAGCCTTAGCTGTGTATGGTTGTTTGGCCTGGAGCTCCTTCAGCCGGAAGTGCCCTTCTATCCAACAGGCAAATTTCTACTCCTGCTTCAAAACCCACTGTCTCCTCCTCCAAGAAGTCTTCCCTATCCACACCCTCAAGGAGTCCCCCTAAGCCACCCCCCACCCGCCACCGTCTGGCTGAGCCCGTCCACCATCTGTATTGGGCTCTGTCTGCCCCAGATGGGGCAGGGGAGAGTCCTGTAAGCTGGGTAGGCAGGACCTGTCTTGGCCTCTAAGTATGGGGAGCTGCCCTGGGCAGACTCTGCCAGCCCCACTTTTCAAGGAGTTGAAAAACTGGCTCCTTCAGTCTCCTCTGCTGTGCACCTGCTGTTCCCTCTGACCCAACACCTTTTCCTACCCTCTCCTTTCTCCTAGCCAGAAAGCCCTCTGGGACACCCTAATACTGCTCTTCCACTGGGACCAATCCTATCCCCACCTCATCAGGCAGTTCAATAGGAGGCCTGAATCCATCAACCAGCCGTATGCAGTGAACTAGGGGTAACTCCTATTCTCTCATTCATTCGACAGGTACTGACTGAGCACCTACTGTGAGCCAAGCGATGGGGACACACACGAATGACACAAACACCCTCAACCCCGCACCCGGTCTGAAAGAGGAACCTGTCAAACGCGGCTTCAAGGAGGCTGAAGGGTGCCCCCTCCATGGACGGGGGTATGTTTTAGAGTTGGGTGATCTGGGAGGGGCACCCTGGGAGGTGATGCTGAACGAAGGAGAAGCTGGAGCAAATCTTGAGCTAATTTGAAGGCCCAACATCCCAGACTGTGGGAACAGCAAAAGCAAACGCCCTGGGGCAGAACCCAGCTGGCCACATTGATGGAGAGAGGCAGGTGGCGCTGGATTGGGTGAGCCAGGGGAAGCCAGAGGGAGAGAAGGAAAGCGAGGGTGCAGGACTTCTACAGAACCCGGTGGTGTTTGTCCCAAGAGCAGTGGAAGTGGCCGTAGAAGACGGGATTGAGGGAGAAGTCGGGAACAGGGCTCAGCCTGGACTCTGCATTTTCACCCTTCCTCTCCCAGCCCCTCCAGGAGTCTCAGGACATTATCTCACTTCCCAGATCAGCGTCCAGGGAGGGTGCGGGACCCACCCGGTCGAAAGAATCCCCAGCCCCTACCCCCACCCACCCATCCCCGTTTGGAGCGGAAGCTGAAACTAACCCGCACCCGTCTCCCAGCCACGGCTCTAATCTCTGCTGGTCTGGCGCCTCTCTCTCGAGAGCGAAGAGCTTACCCTTCTTGTTTAAAGCGACCTGCAACTCGGTTTAATGTTGAGTCTTTATTTGAAGACCCAGAGAACTAAAATCTACTCGATGACACGGAAAGCCCCAAAGAAAGAGAAAGAAGGGGTGAATCGGGAAGCAGAAAGGGGTGAGGCGGAGGGGACCTCTCCACGGGGAGGTACGCGGGGAATGTCCCGCGGCGCTCGGGACACCGCGGGGGCCGGGCAGAGTTTATGGGGAACGTCCTCCGACACTTAGGACCCACCGGCTGGTGGGGGCGGGGCTTGCGATCGCAGTCCCCGGGTGACGGGACCCCGCTAGGGGGCCGGGGGAGGGGCGCCGGCCTTGGGCCGGGGGCGCGTCGGCCCCGGCGCATTCCTGAGGATCAGGTTACCGGCCAAGGCGGCGGCCCCTCCCCTCCCTTCCAGCCTGGCTTCCGCCCTCGCCAGGGGCAGGAACCACAGTCACCTCCCCCGTCCTGTGCAGGTGCTTGGCCAGCCGCAGGGAGGGGACCCACACCCTGTCCTCTGGGCCGGCACTGGCGCTCTCCAGTCTCACAAGACCATTTTACAGACGAGGAAACCGACGCGTCCTCAGCGCCTTGTCGGCACTGGTGGAACGGGACTGATAGAGCTTGCTTTACGACCCGTGGCCCAGTTGACTCCACCGAGGGTGCAGTGTCGACAGCCTCTCGTAGGCAGGCCGGGAAGAGCGGCTCAGTCTAAGTCCAGTGTTCATTGATTGTCCTGGGTGAGCCCAGAAGGGCGCCGGCTCAAGGAGAGAACCACGCCTCACAACACCTTCCCTACCAGATTCCTGCGCTCATCCAGGGAACTCTGATGTATACCCAGGCCCAGGTTAGGCCCTTTCACAGGCAGACTTTAAGAAACCAAGAAGGTTTGGGGGTCAGAGGGTGGTGAGTCGGACTTCACTAAAGCAACTTCAGAAGCTGATTTGTTTGATTTGGTTTTTCTTTTGGCCAGCCTCAAGCACCATCAGCCTCAGTCACCCCTTCCGCCACCCACTCTTGAGCACCTACTGTGTGTCCGGGCTCTGTGTGCTGGGGGAGGGTTTTCCATCATCCCTCATCACCTCCTAAGCTGATCCGCGAATAGAAGACAGGACAGAACCACCGTAATGAAGAAGTATGCTTTAGGCTGATGTCACTCTTTCTCCTCCAGGTCGACCCCTTTTTCTGTTTTTACTTGGGTAAATATATTTCAAAAGGGAAACTTCATGTCACCACCAAGAATGGAAAACCAGTTTCTCTTCCATAAATAGAAGGAAAGTGAAAAACGATGAAATGAGAGCAAAACCCAGGCATTCCCTCCTCAAGGACACTCTGGGCCAGGCCCAGAGTGGGAATGTCCAAATATCCAGAAAGCACTAAAGGCAGAGAATCCCCAAGCCAAGCCAAGAAGAGTACAGGAGGGGCCACAAGGGTAGTTTTGTCCCCTAGGGGCCCAGCACACAGTAGATAGGCAGTGATGTGCTAAGCCTTGGCAGTGAGCACCTACTACGTGTGGGGACTCCCTGCATCCACCAGCAGCCTTCCAGTGCCTGTGAGTTACTGACCCGTTTCCAGGTACAAGTGAAGGTGATGGCAGGTAGCAGCCCTTTGGGGGTGGGACCCCACTGGGGCCTCTCTGGGGAGACTTCAGGTTGGTTCAGTTAAGTGGAAGCTTCCGCCTAAAGACTTTGGGGCTGTCCCCACCCACAGTCCTGTGGCCCCTGACGTCCTTCTGTGCTGAGTTATGGGCCCCTTCCCAGGCTGCCCAGGGACTGGGGAGGGAAGCAATGTGTGAATCAATGAATGAGTGCGAATAGGTAAATGAGTGAGCGAGTGGATGATGTAACGGATGGTTTGGTGAAGTAATGAATGGATGAATGAATTAACGAATGACCGGATGCACCCATGCTGCCAAGATGGGATACCCACTCCCCACGTTTTTCCGTGATACCCTCCCACCAGCACTGCAAGGAGGGCCACCTGTCCACATTTTTCAGATGGATAAACTGAGGCTCGGAGCAACCCATGGCTCCACATGTTGGAGGGCAGATTGGAATACAGGTGGCCTCGTTCACCGCGAGCTGCAGGCAGAGGGGCTGGAGCTCAGGGGGCCTGGCTGGGGCAGACGAAAGCTGGAACTGGACCTCAAGCCTGCGGGGCCTAGAGGGCCGGCACCTGATCGTCGCGCAGTAAAGGAGCGGGGCCCCAGCGGAGGAGTACATTGAATGGGGGCCAGGCCAGACGAAGGGAGAGAGCGGGGAAGCGGTGGGGGCGGGGCCGCCGGAGTGGGGAGGAGCAGGCAGTCTCAGTCGCTTAGGAAGGGGCCCCAAGGAAGGAGCAGGATTGGGGGGCGCCCCGGCTCGCGAGACACACAAACGCCAGCCCTGCGTCTCCCGAGGGTGGGGGACACAACCCCCCCCCATCGGAACCTGAGGCCGCCACCGCCACCGTAAACTCCCTCGCCTGCCCGCCTCCCCCTTTCCTTCGCCACCGCCTCTCCTCTGGAGGAAGTGGTGAGGGTGCGGGGGAAGGCCCCCCATTCTCACTTCCCCTGAGGCAGGGCGGGGACTGCAGGTCAGGGTCCCCTCCCCCGCTGCGAGGATGGATGGGGGGGGGGTGCCCACAGGGGTGGGGGCGGGGAGCCGCAAGAGCTGGGGCTCGGCCAGCGCGGGGCGGCCCCTCGCTGGGTGACCAGAGCTCTCTGGGTTTGAATGGTTCTCATCTGAAAAATGGGGGGAAGAAACTCAACCTTGGAACAATGGATTGCTCGGTGAGAGGCCCCGCCCCAGGCCCGGGGAGACCGAGCCGGACAAGGACACTCCCAGGCCCGGAGGGGTCAGGGCCGGGCCGGAGGGAGAGATGTCGCCGTAAACACGGACTTGGACCCGGGCGGGAGGCGCATTCCAGGCGGAGGGAAGGGCGCAAAGGCCTGGAGGCTGGTGGGGACCTCCCGCCTCGCCGGGCGGCTGGGCCTGCCCAGGACGTGCCCCTCGTCGGTCCCCCCAGCCCGGCCCCTCCTCTGGCGGGGGTGGAGGAGGGATCTGGAGGGCCTCCGCGCGGCCAGCCGACGCCGCACAGTTCACCCCGCGCCGCGGCCGGACCCAGGGGCGAGGGGGGCGGGTGGCGTCAGCGCCGACGTCAAGGCGAGGCGGAGCCGCGTAGACTCGGGCCCGGCGCCCGCGCCCCACGCAGAGCTGGAAGTCGTGGGTGTGGTGGTAGGCAGGGTTCGCCTTCCAGCTGTCCCGACGTTGGGGACCGGAGGGGGAAACTGAGGCCCGGCGAGGCGCGTGGCCTAGCTGAGAATGAAGCTGGGCCCCAGGGCTCCAGGGCCCCGTCTCGCAGCCCCAGCCCCCACACCGTCACCCTCTCCCAGTCGTTCGCTCGCGCTGGCCCGCACCGCGACAGCCCCCAGGGCCACTCGGCTGCGGCGACGAACTGGGGTTTTGTGTGTTGTTTGCTTTCCGGCAGATAGACAGGTCCCTACGAAACCGCCCAATGAAGCGTCACCGCAGACACGTGGGCCTCAGTTTCCTCAACCGGACAAAGGAGGAAAGCTGACATTTAACCGCGGGCTCACAGCTCCTGCCTTCGGGAAGGGCGGGGGAGACAATCTAGAGGCGAGAGATACAAGTGGGGGGGACACCAGCGAGGCCGAATTCGAATCCACGGCTGGCTCCCGGTCCCCCTTTTGTCCTCTACACCTCCGCCCACTCTCGTCCCACTCCCTCGGTTTCTAACCCTCTCCCCTCTCCTCCCATCTCCCTCCCCTCCCCCCCACAGGCCCCGCTCCGCTCCGAGCCCGGCCGGGCCGCTAATTAAATGCAGAACTGGGGGGAGGGGGCGGCTCGCTGTTAACCCCTTCCCGCCGGGCCCAGGAGGGCTTCCCTTGGCTGAGGAGGGGAAGCGGGAACGCTGCTCAGCCCCCCTCCGCTCCTGGCTTAAGGCCCCAGGACAAGCCCATTTGACGGAGGGGTAAATCGAGGCTAAGGGGCCAGGCCCGAAGCTCTAGGCAAGAGCCGATTATTAATCAGGGCCTCCAGATAGGAGGGCCAGGGCCTAGAAATAGCCGAGAGAAAAGGGAGATAGGAGGAGAAAGGCAGAAGGAGATGGAAGGAGAGAGAGCCGGGAGGGAGGGAGGAAAAGTCTGTTGGAGCCAGACAGAAACAGCCAGAGACCCAGAGAGAGTGAGACAAATGAGTTAAGAAGAGACACCAGCTGGAGAAGGCTAGAGACAGCAGGAAGAGGAAGAGAGAAACACTCAAGTATTTTCTATGGGATTCTCCGTCCTTGGCTGGGGACTAGAACTAACTAGTGAGGAAGGAAAGGTGGCCCTCTAAATATCTACAAGGAAAACAGAGTAACTATCCCAGGCTGGCACGGTTGGGACTGGGGGGGACGCAGTGGCCCTGAGAACCATCAGTATGTGTGGTGATAGGGGACTCCTAGGCCACCTCAGGAGCTGGAGGCCCACAGGGCAAGCCCCGCCCTCACTGGCTCCTGGCCCTGGGCTGGCTTGCCCACTATTCGCTGACCTCTGACAGGGCCTTGTTGCCTGAACTGAGGGTCAACCCTGACCAGGGAGCTGTAGGTCACTTCACGTTCCCACCCTGTCCTTAGAGCTCTGGGTCAGGTAGACAGGACCCAGACACAGCCATTCCACTGCCTGGGACCCCTGTCCCTCCGCACGATGACTACTGCCACTGTGGAGCTGGGTAAACGAGAGATTTGAGAGGGGCCCAACATTCTTGGGGTGCGAGCAACTGAAAAAATGGGTAATACGTCAAGCAGTGACAGGAGCTATGAAGAGATCTCAGGGGGATGTGCAGAGGATCAGTGACATCTGTGGACCAAAGGGGCACAGGGAAGGGGGGGACCGGGGAAGGCCGGACTCCTGAAAGCTGGAATAGCACAGGCAAAGGTCCTGAGGTAGGAATGCATGATGTGCTGGAGGAGAATCTAGAAGCAGGCCTAGAGTAGGGTGAGGAGAGGGGAGACAGGATAGGAGGATCACAGGGACACCCAGGTCACCAGCAGTTCATTGGAGTTTTTGCCAGCCCAGGAGGAGCCTGTGACAACCCTCCCTGCCTCAGTCTCCCCACCAGTGCCCATGTTTCAGAGGATGCAGAGGAGTCTCGGGGGGAATAGGCGCTGCCCAGAGCCACAGGGACCTGTCTTCTGTCCTCCGCAGGTGCCACCCTGGCCTCCTCTCACCGTCTGTGGCTCCCTGCTCTGGCTTGTCTTCCTGTTACCACCTAGCTCTGCCCCTCCTGTGGTCCAGCCTCCCAACACGTGCCCATAACGTTCCTTCACCTGCAGTACCCGCCTCAGGAGACATTCCGTGGCCCCCTCCCAGGCAGAGCAAAGAGACCCTTCCTCGGCTGGGGCTGGCTCTCCAACCGCACTCAGCCCTCTCACCCTTTGGCTACAAGCTCTGCAAGAAAGGAGGCGGCTCAGGAGACTGGGTTAAGGGAAACGGGAAGGTGAACAGTGTGGTCCTTGAGCCTGCATGAAAATAGCTGCCCCCTCTGCGCCTGCCCCCTTCAAGGAGGCATGACGGTGGCTGCAGTGATGGGGGATGTGCCAGGAGGAGCATCCGGCAGGGCCCACATTGCCATGGCGACGCTGACTCAGAGGCAGAGGCAGGTAGCAGCATCTAGTACCCGCCAGCCCGCCCCTGTGCTCATGGCGCCCTGCCCAACCCCCACCCTCCAGCCTCCACTCTGGGGGACCTCTTTTGAAGCTGAAGAAGGGTGGGTGAGACCCCAGCATGGCTGGATGAAGTTCTCCACTCACCCCTACCCAATCACCTGCTGGAAGGTAGGAGACGCTATTTTATCACACTAACCTGGGTACCACATCTTCCTCCTTCAAGACACTCATCTCCCCATCCATCTGTTTATATGTCCATCCATCCATCCATCCATCCAGCCATCCATCCACCCATCCACCCACCCACCCACTCATCTGTCCACCCCTCTATTTACCCATCCACCCAATATTTATGGAGCCCCTACTATGCGCCCACATTGTTCTCAGCACAGGGCAGTCATCCTCTGCCCCAGCATTCAAGGTATCAGAGAAGGATCTGGGCTGGGGCGATGCAGGTGACGATGATGAGGCCTCTGTGGCTTCTTGGGCCAAGGCCTTGGGAAGTTGAGGCCCCTTCTCTCCCTCCTGCTCCCAGTCTGTCTCCTCTACCACTATCTGTTTCAGACTCTATCTCCCCATCCCAGAGTACA